TAGAAAAAGAGGACATTTCCTGGAAAACATCTTACCGTTTTAGCCAGTGTGCAGGCAAGCTCTGGGTTATTAAGGATCTCATAGTAAAATACAGAAAAGTTAAGAGCCAGCCCCAGGCGGATTGGATGTGTGGGTTGCATCTCTTTCTTGCTTATATCAAATGCCTCTTGGTAAGCTCCTTGGGAATTATCTATCGTTTCTGAGAAGAAAAGAAAAAACACTATACCCAAAATATCCAATATATAGCACATTAACTTTAACACATGCTACTAGCTTTTGGTAGAATGAGACTTTTCTCTGTAGCATTTTTTTAAACCACTGCATACTAGTACTAGATATTTAAAAATTAATTGATAATGCAAGAAAGTGGGGCACAGACATTATATGAAATTTTTTTGTTTTAAACTGTGCTGGTATTACTTAATCACTTGGTCACTCAACTGTCTTTATAATGCTGCTTGCTTACAGCTAATTTATAAAAATGCAYGAGATAGTATATCACATTTTCCCATCTCTGAGGCTAAGATGTTTTCCCTTTTAGTACTGGGGATTGAACCCAGGGGCACTTAAAACAYTGAGCCACATCCCAGCCCCCTTGTTTATTTATTTATTTTTTATAGTTGTAGATAGATAGCATACCTTTATTTGCTTAGTTTTTTTATGTAGTGCTAGAAATTCAAACCCAGAGCCTCACACATGCTAGGTAAGCACTCTGCCACTGAGCTATAGCCCCAACCCCAGCCCCATCCCTTTTAAATATTTTATTTAGTAACAGGATCTGGCTGAAGTTGCTTAGAGCCTTGCTGATTTGCTGAGGCTGGGAATACAGGTGTGTACCACTTTACACAGCCCTCTCCTGAATTATAAGACCAAGCCTATCAATAAAAATAAATCAATGGTGAGAAAAAAATTTCTTTCTTTTTTTTTTTTTTTTAGTTGTAGACGAACAGAATGCTTTTATTTTATTTGTTTATTTTCATACGGTGCTGAGAATTGAACCCAGTGCCTCACGCATGCCAGGCAAGCGCTCTGCTACTGAGCCCCAGCCCCAGCCCCACAATTTTTTGACTGGAATGCTACCTCCCTAAATAATGAGAACACTTTACAAATACCTTACCACCAAAATCTCCAAAATTTTGTGCCTTTATAATCATCATTGTTTTGAAAAGGCGCCCACATGAGCCTTAAAGACTAACATAACACAAATTAAGCTATTGCTTAATGTGTGTATTTTCCTTCTTCTGAAATAGCCTATTATTGACCTAATTACGGCTGGAATAGCCCTCATRTAGTGAGAAGGGCATGCTGTCAGGCACATGAGAAAGCCCAACGCAGGAGAATAGTAGTAATACAAGGACAGCCCACTTACAAATCCAGATGAACAGAATGCATGTGAGAACTATGTGTGGGAATCAGGGGTGTCAGTGAGCTACAAGCAGCTAATTCAGATTAAAGCCAGGGATATGTCCCAATCTCCCAAGGACATTCCTTTGACTTGTTATAAATATTTTCATTTCTGTGTCAATGTTTTCAGGTCCAGTTCTGCTTATCTGTGTGGCAACAGAAATTATACATCAGCACAAAGTGTTAGTTTAGTAGACAGATTTTACTACAGAAAAGTATAACTATTTTTTCTTTATATCTTCAATTACACTGATACTTAGGATGGCAGAATTCTCGTTTTCAGTGACTAACTCAGAGATCAGAGTATAGGAGTACATCTTTTTGGATGAGGCAACATTAAGAGAAAAACAAGCTTATTGTCAAAAACTAGGAATTCCGTGATACTTCTCTACYTTCAACTTGACAATTTTGTCAGCAGGTCCATATATAAAATTCAGTAGGGTTTATTATAATACTCRCTAATAATACTCCAGAAGACTGAGTTCACTGCAAATAGGTTTACTTTTCCACAATTAAAATAGGGAGTCTGATTATTACTTTTCCCCATTATTTTTTAAACGATACTCTAAAATACAAAATAGGGCTGGGGATGTGGCTCAGTGGTCGAGTGCCTCTRTGTTCAATCCMCAGTACCCTCACCAAAGGTATTTAATATTCTATTTTTATGACAATTCTTCCAGTCAACACAGTTCCTATGTATTCAAATAAAACCTAGACATAAGGGTCATTTAAAATTACTGTTAAGTTGGAACAAATCATACACCAACAATAGACTCATCTTACCTATCTTCAGAAATCTGATTAGCAATGTTGTGATCCTTTAAAATTGGTAATATGTGGGAGACCAACCTTGCACTTGACTGAGTCAAAGAAATGTGGCAGAACTTTCCCCACCCTTCTTGGGTTTGAGGGTTGAGGGTTGGTGCATCGTGCATGGGTCTGTCTTGCTACAGCCCGCCCCATGGGTGGAGCTATGCTCACCTGTTCCTTTGTAATATAACCCCTTGCCCTTTTTAGGATAGAATCTTCCATGGAAATGCCGTGTGTGTATGTGTGTGTGTCCCCTTCTCTTACTGTGTCCTTGGGTATGGCCTACCTAGATGTCAATCAACCTGCTGACAGTGGACACATGAAGAAGACTCAGTCCCCTGAAACCCCCTTGCCTCATTAGAATAGCTTCTCTTCAATAAAAGGGGTCAGCGCGTGCTCTYGCTCTCTCTCTTCCTGTGGACCCTTAAGATCAGAGGAGCCATCACTGCGACCCCAAACAAAAAGGTACTTAGCCCAGTTCAACTGGAATAACCCCTGAGCCTTTTATCCTGAACAGAAACCTGACAGTAGTAGTATACTAAACTAATGACA